TCACAGATGGGTAAGCTGGTGGGAGCTTGCTTCAAAGTTATGGAAGTTATGGCCTGTCCTTTTTCTTTTAAGAAGGAGGAGCTGGTGAGGGGATGGGTTGAAGACAGGAGGAGAGACAAGGTGAGCAAGATCTGGAGACAGGACCGAACTTACTCAGGTAGAAAGTGAGGGAGGGAAGAAAACAGCAGAGAAGCTTGATGTCAGAGGTAGAAGGTGAGAAAAGAAGGGCTATTGTCGCTGGAGGGAAGATAAAGAGAAAGAAAAAGGACAAAACGTTTTTTTCCTCTGTGACCCTGTCCAGGATGCAGGACAGGTTGTGTTGGTTTTAAAGCCATGTTTACCTTTTTCAATGGTATTGGTTGCTGTTATCAGTCACTCTTCATTCTCCTCTTTTGTAGTCCCTTAATTGGTGAGTAACATCTGCTGATCTTGTGATGCCCTTTTTCTAGGTTAGGGACCAGATGAGAAAGTCTCAATCTTTCCCAGTTTGTCTATTTCTGTATGAGTCAGGTCAGTAGTGACAAAAATAAGGACCTGAAGGCCCTTTATGGTGACCGTCATTACTGGCATCCATCCTTGGGATTCTCAGCAGAGAGGCCCACAGTTCGCAGGAATGGTGGGTAAATGATGCCCTTGCTCTTAGCAGTGGAGCCTTCAGGTCAGGATGGAGGTTTGCTGATGAAGTTGTGTGGGCGAGGTAGAAAAGCATTACCGTCTTCAGCCGGTAAATGTGGGGCTTCATATTTATGGGCTGTGAAGACAGAACCTTTCTTTAACACAAAGAATGTGTGTGTGTTTGTTTTGTTTTTAAATTGTAGGTCTTATCTACTCTGCTCTTGTATTCAGGGTAATTTTTGATGCACTTATGAAATAATTTGTTATAAATAAAGCTTTTTATGCTCCTGTTTGCTCTCTTCCTAGGTACTTAATATTATTTGTTGCAAAAATCCTGCAAGAGCATCTCCCTGTCTGCCATATGCCTTTGTAAGTGTGACCAGGGAGATCACTGATGCTAGATGCCATTGAGTTTTAAAGGAAATGGCTGGAGGCAGGATGCTATCCATAAAGGATCCTCAGTTCTGGAAATAGCCTTCTCTCTTTACAGCCCAGATTTACTGACTTAGTACCAGACTCATTTGTTCTGGCAGGCTTTTGTGGTGTATAAAGGCAATGATGGATAGTGAGACCTAAGGAGATGCTTTGTTTGTTAGCGTGAGGCTTTGGTCAACAATGATTTATAGATTGCAGGTCAAGTTCTCTTCTTATTAATGGGATTGTAAAACATAACTGGGAATTGCACTCTGGGGAAGCAAACTCATTAGGGTACAGGAGGAAGGGATACAGGGAAACTTTTCCTGGGTTAATATATTTTGTATAAATTTTGTTTGAGTGCTTGGGGGGATAAAGAAGGGCTTTTTTTTTGTTTTGATGTTTTTGCAAGTATAAATAATCACTGAAGTGCAGATTCGAAACACTTTTGCACTAACCAATTTTCCCAGAGATGCCTCTTTTATCTGTTCCACTGGGAACAGAGCAGGTTGATGATCTCCATGACTACACTGTTGTCAGTACATCACAGCTGGTGGCTCACATCACAGAATTCAAGCACACAAGTCTTTATTGTTGAGTGTGTAGAGCCATTGGAGTGGTGCATTCATCCTATTGAACTGACTGACTTCAGCATCTTACTGGCTAAACAGTAAGACATTAATGTGCATGAATATGCTAACTAGGCTTTTTGGCAGGGGAAAATTAAGATAAATGTTGTAAGCTTTCTTAGATATTGAAATGCATCAGGTGTTCTGTTGTACTTAGTGAATTTGTGTCTAAAGGTGAATAAAAGGCTACACCACTGTTTCAACCAGTAAGCAGGATGAAAAGGCTTTTATTTTGGTAGTTTTGGAAGAGAACAGACGTTGGGCTCTTTCCCTGCCCCAGTTCAGTCTTCTTTGGTCTGTAATACCTTAACCTAATGTATACAAAGCTTGCATATGCAGTGCTAAAGGGGGAATGGGATCACATGTTTTTACTGTGGTCTGTCTCCGTGTGACTAGTTGTCATTTGACTGTTACTTTATCCTTTTTGTATTAATTAACTTTTGTGTCCAGTGGTGATGTAATTCAGTGCTGAAGTTGCAAGCTGTTTGTAAAAGCAGCTTCTTATGAGCTGTGCATCCATGGTGTAGAGCAATGGAGTTTTGACACTTGATTAGGGTCTTTAGGTGCCAATGTAATATAATAATGTGATAGTAGCAATAATAATGACTTTATTTCCTTTGCATTCTGTATAGGCTCTCTAGTGAGCTGGGTGGGAAAGAGTTTTGTTTTCCAGTGAGCATTTAAAAAAATGTGGACAGTATCTTTGCAAATCAGTTTGAAAAAAAAAATCAGATTTGTTCAAATGAAACACTTCAGTCCAAAGTTAACCTGATCAGTTGTGGGTTGGGTTTTTTTTTTTTGTAACAATTGAACAAGCAAGGTTTTGAAATAGAGACAATTATAAATAAAACATTTTGCAAAACCTCAATATGTGGTGTGTTGGCAAAACGAAAGCTTTTATTTAGAACACTTCTGAATTAGGAGGTTTGAATCAAAGTAGCTCTGGCTTTAAGTTTTTCACTGCAAAATGAAAACCATTAGTGTTTTGGGTCTCCTGTGGCTATTTACCTGCCAAAGCAATCATTAATATAGTTTTCAGAAAGTTCTATTTAATATTTTTGAGGCTTTGGATCTTTAAGTAGAATTTTCTGAGGGTGCCAAAGCCAGCTCCTAGGCAGTCTGTTGACGCCAAGAGCATAAGGCCTCTACTCGAAGACTGATGTTGTTATTTAAATACAAATCAACACCATTAATTTAATACGGAGTTGTGAACTGGAACTATGAAAGACACAAGTTGCATCGTTTGTGGTAGTAGCTGAGGCATATGTTGTAACTGCTGGCTGGTTTTGTGAACTGCACATTTATGTTTCTGCAGAACATCTGTACGTCAGGAGATCTGTGCCATTTTCCACTTTCCGTGCAAAACCAGCTGCCTCTGCGGTAGTCTTGTGATAGCTTCACTTTTTTTTTGCTTTCTTAAGTGACTTTCACAAAATGTGTTTTGAGCCTCACTGTGCTCACTGTAAATACATATTTATTCGTGTATATATGTATGTCCATGAAAATTACAAAATAAGCTTTTCTAAACCAACACCCTAATAGAGCTATGATTCTTCCATGCCTGCAGATCTTACAGGGAAAGGAAGGGAAGGATACTGTCTGAAGTGTACTGGCCATGAAACTCTTAGGAACTTAATTTGTCCAAAGCAGGCTGGGCTCACCACCCTGAGCATTTGCAGTCGACACCTTCATGATTTGTAGCCAACTGCCCCCAGCTTCTCCAGCAGAATCCAGCAGAACAGTTCCACTGGGCAGAGAAACTGGGGAAAATAGAAGGTTTTTTTCAAAACTGAATGAAACTAGGAAACGACTACAGAATCGCTAATATTCTGCATGTCGCATTGTTTTGTACTGGAAGGCAAATTTTCTTCTGGGAATGTAAAGGGGGGGAAAAAAACCAGGCAATGAGTGCAGTTGGTAAGTAGCTATTGATTCAAAGACGCTGGGAAGAGGAGGAAGAATTGGGAGATAAGCATACGACCTAAACGGGAGTAAAGCACAGGAGTTAACACTGTTGACATTTAGCATCACAGCATTAAGAAGTCAACCCTGATTTGAGTTTATATATCCAGTCTATTGTTTTGAACCATCATCAGACTCTGGAACACAACGTTGTTTTCCATCGAGAGATTTTATTTTCAACTCTGAAAGCTGTAAATATCATTGAAAACAGGAAGGAAATCAAAACTGATGAGCAGGAAAAAAAACAAGCCCGCAATCCACCCCTTTGATTTTTAACATACTGTTGTAGCAACGTTCAGTGGCACATTGCATGGCAGTATAACTAGACGTACAGAGCATCTCAGTAATGCTGTCTTTATCGTTAGTATTACAGTAACAGCGTGCTACTAATCACTTCCAAATTAATATAGCTTTTCTTCTTTGCAGCATAATAATAGTGTGCAGAAGTTTTTTTTGTTATTTGTGGTTCTTTCTCTGTCTTACCACTGTAGTATAACCTGCTACAAGAAATACGTCAAATTTTGCAGCCCAAGGGAGTACCAATCATGTTTTGAAGTCCATTCCTACAGTGATTTATGTCTGGGGTTTGCTCTAGGACTTAATATTGCAGCAGGTATTCCACCCCAACAAGTATTTTACAAAGTTGCAGTTTTTTCTATCAGAGAAGGTTCTTTTCTATCAGATTCTTTCAGGTTCCTTTCA